TCCTGGCCTGCCTTGGCCAGGACGCCGCACGGGTTTCTTCCGCTGTAGAACTACCCCCGTGACAACCTGGCAGTAGGGCTGGAGTTTCAGGAACACGAACTCCCCTTCTTGATAGGTCACCGGCCTGTGCTTCCTGTCATACTGGGCCTTCATCTGTTGCTGGGCCTGGGTTAAATGCTCCTTCAGGGACCTTAAAACTTCATCTCTTTGTTGTAGCTTTTCTTTTACCTCCGCTACGGCTATGGAGCCAACTTCATAGGGAAGTATCAAGGGTGGTTCTCTTCCATATAGTGCGTTAAATGGGCTCATCCCCAACGATGAGTGATAAGTGGTATTGTACCACAGCTTGGTCCATGGTAACCAATGCCTCCACTGTTTGGGTCTTTCTCCCGTAAAGCACCTGTTAACAACTTCAGATTGACTGTCGGCTTGTGGGTGGTAACTGGTGGTGTGGTTCAACCGAGTCCCCTGGGCTTTAAAGTATTCAGTCCAGAAGCGGCTCATGAAAGCCAGGTCCCTATCTGTCACAATGGACCGGGGGGTCCCATGGAGTCAGGTCACCTCCTTCACAAAGGTGCACGCTACCGAGGCCGCCTTATATGAGTGCGCCAGCCTAACAAAATGTCCATATTTGGTTAATCTTTCCACAACTACCATGATCACTGATTTACCCATGGAAGTTGGAAGTCCCGTGATAAAATCCATCGCTATATCCTCCCATACTTGTGTCGGAATTGGAAGGGGCTGCAACAATCCTGCCGGAGTTTGGTGATCAGATTTGTAACGTTGGCAAGTAGGGCGTTGTGCTACAAACTACTGGATAGCCTTCTTCATCCCTGTCCAAAACAAGTGCTGGCTTACCCTTCGGTAGGTCCGGAGTATTCCCAAATGGCCACCCAAGGTAGAACAGTGAAATAGTTGTAGTAACTCCGGGAGAAACTTCGATTGGAGCTGCAATCACCAGGCACCCCTTAAAGAAGAGATCTGGTCCCACTAGGTAGAACCCTGGGACTGCAGCGGGATCTGATTTAAGTTTTTGAACAAGCTTCTGAATTGTTTCGTCCAGGTAGGCTTCTTCCTTGAGCTTGGTCAAGATAGGAAAATTGGGACGGGAATTGCCCAACACGGACACTTCATGACTGCGGGACAGAGCGCTGCCGCTTTGTTCATTGGGCCAGGCTTGTAGTCCACTCGGTAGTCAAACCCCAACAACTTATACAACCACTTCTGCTGATCTGGGTTGTGCACTGGTTGTTCTAACAAGTGTTTGAGGATTTGGTGATCAGTACGGATGACAAAGAAATGGCCCAACAGATAGGATCGCCACTTCAACACAGAGAGGACAACCGCCATTAGCTCTTTATCATAGGTAGACTTCAACTGGGCCTGGGTAGATAACTCTTTACTGAAGTAGGCAATGGGTCTCCCTGTTGCATGAGGACGTCTCTCACTCCGGATTTAGATGCATCACACTCTACTACGAACTCTTGTGAAAAGTCCGGTAAGGCGAGAGTGGGTGGTGTGGACAGGGCCTGTTTGAGAGCCTGGAATGCGGCTTGGGCCTGGTCATTCCAAAGAAATGCATTCTTTTTGAGTAGCTGGGTCAGCGGGCCGGACAACAGGCTGTAGTTCTTTATAAACCACCGGTAGTAACCAGTCAGGCCTAGGAACCCTCTAAGGGCCCGAATGGAATCGGGAATGGCCAGTTAACTACGGCTGCAATCTAGTCAGGGTCAGCTCTAACTTGGCCTTGAGAGACAATATGGCCTAGGTAGTGCACCTCCGTCTAGTCAAATAGGCATTTGTCTTTCTTGGCGTAAAGCCGATACTGCCTCAAGATCCCCAAGGTAACTTTCAGATGTTGTGGATGAGATTCCCAACTGTCACTACTCACTATACACCAAGATGTCATCGAAGAATACCAGGATGAATCGCTTGAGGTAAGGCCGAAATATACCATTCATTAAATCTTGAAAGGTGGACGGTGCGTTAGTTAGCCCGAAGGGCATAATTAGGAATTCATAGTGCCCGTTGTGAGTTCAAAATGCCATTTTTTGCATGTCCTCTTGGTGGACCTGGATTTGGTGGTATCCGGCCCTCAAAGTCTAGTTTAGAAAACACTGTGGCAGTTCCTAATTCATCCAACAACTCGTCGATAATTGGTATGGGAAATTTGTCCTTTAAGATGATACGGTTTAAGACTCGGTAGTCTACACAGAACCTCCATGTGCCATCCTTTTTCTTGACTTAGCAGGACGGGAGAGGAAAAAGGGCTGTAGCTGGGCTGTATCATTCCCTTCTTCTTAAAGTCAGCCACAATTTTCTCAATTTCAGACTTCTGGAGTTTTACATTGGTCGGTCCCGCTCCTGGTATGAGGGGAATCTTATGGTCTTGGTCCCGTTTCGGAGGGAGGTCCATGGGTTTGTGGAAAATATCTTGGTAAGTCTGTAGCCTGTATAATTCTGTGGGTCCCCTCCTGTGCCCACTAAACCCAGTTGATGGTAGAGTGTGGGTCCCACAGGGTCGCCTTCCAAATAGAGAATGACAGGTGGGGAGAAATGGTGGCTTGGTTTGATTGTCAGGCTTAATTCTTCTTGCAGTGGGGCCCCGGATCGAGGCCTTGGAGAGTGCAACTCTGCCCGTCTACTGTGAAAGACATGGTTAGACGGGGTCACAAGTCACTGGGCCTAACTGTCAAAGCCACTGGACGCCAAAAACCACACCGAGTCCCCTTAACTCCAATGGGTGCAGATCGGCTTGGAGTAGGTGCCCTTGCACCTTGGTTTTCACTGCTTTACAAATCCCGTCGCAACCGAGTTTGTGTCCATTGGCTACATGGACTGAGAAGGCCGGCACGGGCTCCACCGCTAAATGGAGTTGGTCAACTAGCTGCTCTGAAACAAAATTTAGAGAGCTCCCGCTATCCACTAATATAGCCACCTGGTTACCTCCGATCACCGCTCTAAGCTTCATGGTTCGAGGTGAGGAAGAGCCAGTCAAGGCCTGGAGGGAGATCTCCAGCTCTTGCTCTATAGATTCCTCGTCAACTACCGGGGTCCCGTCTTCAACAGTGAGACCCTCCTCCTCATGGTCCTTCGGCTCCAATAGGAAAAGTTGGGGTTTCTTGCAACGGTGCTTGGGTCCGAATTTTTCATCACAGTTATAGTAGAGTCCATGCTCGCGAGTCGCGACGTGACTGCATCTCTGCCTAGGAGAGCCACGTGAGGGGTAAACCATTCGGTCCGACCGGTCTGGACGGACCTGGCTCAGTTTTGGTCGGGGGAGTCTTGATGATTGGTTTAGTTACCCGCATAAGCTTGTTCAGTCTTTCTTCATCTAGGCGGGCTAAGTGGGCTGCCGCATTTACGGTGACCGGTTGCAGAGCCTTTACTTCATACCGGATCTCATCCCTCAAATCCCCTAAGAAGGCTCCCACCAACGCCGATTCAGGCCACCCGTAAACCCTAGAAGCCAACCTCCCAAATTCATTCTGATACTCCCTCACCGTCCCCATTTGTTTTAGTCTTGACAGAGAGCTTCATCAAAGTTCTCAAACCCTGATGATCCGAATCGGTGACAGATGGCCTTTGTAAATTCCATCCACCCAATCTGAGGGTTGGAACTGGATGGCCTCCCCTTCCTAATGGATCGAAGCCATCAGCACACGTTGATGCCCTGGGATTTCATTTATCTCAAAGAATCTTTCTGCTGTAAATATCTAGGAAATAGGATCCTCACCTGACAATGTGGGAAACACTGACATGGTCATCCATCCAAATCTGGAACCTGCGTGCGAGTGGCCGGAGTAGCTGGAGCCTTTGTTTTCCCCTTTGCGCAGGTTGGAATGAGACGACCTCTGAAACTGGCTGGCCACCACCAAGATGGAATCCTTCAACTCCTTGAGCTCCCCGAACACCTTGTGAAGCTTTTCTTCGATCTTGTCAATTTGACCCTCCATCGCTGAGGATCTCGTGTTCGTCATCTTACCACTGTCGGCAGCGCTCTGATACCAATTTGATGGGATACTGCCCACCACAGATGTCTCTTCGAGGGAGACCTAACCTCCTACAAAGAGAAGAAGAAGAAGAAGAAGAAAATGAAATAAGCCAGGTCTGCCCTACTCCTTTATTCACAGATATTTATAAGGTTTACAAGGATGTCACGAGACATGTGCATGGGACTATTCATGGCTAACGTGTGTTCCTTGTGTACAGGAAACGAATGGGCTGGTCTGTGCTTCTCATGGGCTTCAGTCAGCAGAATGGGCTGGTCCCCAGGCTGGCTCGTGGCTGGGGCCTTGGGTGCCACATGGACTAGGGGGTCAACATCTT